TGCACATTATACATTTTTGTAATATGTATTTAACAGGGAAATTTTCCATGTTACATTTATCATTCACCAAATCGACGAAATAAAAAAAAGGTATACTTGGAGAGGGGGGCTGTCGAACAGGTCTACCGTTACTAGTTCGGTANGTTCGGTATTAAAATCTTCCTTGAATGGGAGTCTTATACATCGTTCTTTTCTCCCTACCGTCGTTATTTGCTGTCTCTGTCGTTTCTCTGGTAATTTATTTTCAGTGAAACACTCTGGGTAGTCATTATTCAGTAAACAGCTCTTGAGATTTTCTAATTCTTGGTCAAGACTGTCGTGCGAGCAAAATTCTTCTTGCGTGTTCTGCCAGACAATGGACCAAGTTTCTCGCTGAATCGGACAAGAATTTAACCTGCTCGGTGGAACGGCTCGAATAGAATACTCCTTTCCACGTCCCAATTATTGAATGAGGACTGAGACAATTCTTGCTCATTTGCAAATGCATGTGATAGGTGGGTTTGCAGATAGTGCGTGTTTGATCTGTTTCATTAGCCAACTGAACTAAGTTTATTCATCCTCAAACATCTGTGTACATTTCCACGGTCGATCTCCATTGATTACGTAGTGACTTATGTTATTTCCATTATTTTTCTTACACCTGATTTGACTCAGTGAGTCGGACCGACTGTTTTCTTCTCAACCATGACGCGCATCACCTTTGTCGTCTATAGTAGTTGATCACCCCCTGCTTTCCTAGCTCAATTTATTTAATCCTTATTTGCCATCTGTCTGTTGTCCATCGATCGACACGTACACACACATGTAGGCTCACTGATTGTCCTTGTCCCTCACACGATTGATGATTCGATCGCATACATTTGATTGACCGACTGTTCGCTGTTGGGTCCTTACACAGGCACATTTTTCACCCAAGTCATTTTGACCGTTCACTTCGATTGAATTTCACGCACCCGCTGTCATTGAGTTGACAGTCAAATTGTTCATTGAAGACTCCATATCGTCTGATTCAGATTGGACAGTGCGAACACGCACTCCCCGATTCACCTCAGCAATCTAGGTTTGTACCTATTTTTTTATTACCCATTCATTTGCTCACAACAGTACCACATAATATTACATTCCAAGAGAACCTCATGTTCCGCTGTTGACTTGGGGCTTCACGCACCATCCGATCGTTAGGTCAGATTTCCAGGGAGAAATACACATCACGATAATCTCCTGCAAATATTATACAGTATGCGTATAGTCCAACATGTAGACATTTGCCATTCAAAGTTTTCCAGTATACTTTTACTTCTGACGAGCCCATTGCACAGGCTACAGCTTAAGCTTCAATCAGTAACGTTTTCGTCGCTGGTATCCCTAAACATTGTAGTGGAATGAAAGGAGAAAGTGAACACTTACCGGGATATATAAGACATGATTATCACCAGTCAATAGTGGAACGGGAAAAGCCTAAATTTGAAAAAGTTTCTGAATCAACAAAGAACTTGTAACCTGTCGTGCCATTAAACCGCAAACACACATTATGAATGAAAGGTAATGTGGCTATTAATCTTCTCGGGGCAAACTCAAACGCGATTCATCCTCTACTCAGGTAGAAAAACGGGGACAGTGATAGCCAGTATAAAAATGATTTAGATTTGAAAAAGTTCAGTAACATCTTCATTTATTTATTATTCTTTATTTTCTGATTTGGCGTCCAGATGTGACGGAGGTTGAGATGACCAAGTGAACTTAGGGAGGTAGGAGAGCCATGTAAGACACACTTGTACAAATTCTTTCTGTGTACACATGGGGTTTAGCGTGGGTGACGGCCAATTTCCACTGTGACCACGATGCAATGTTTCATCCACTTGGATTGGGGTTCACAAACCACCCGATAGAGCGGGCGAAATCCTCCCGTTCAAGTGGACTAAGTGACCTGACTCGACAAGGTGTGAACAGATTACGCTCGTTATTTCCATTGGTCATCCCAGGTTGCTATCGAGTTGGATGCTGTTCACGAACTTGGCGAGTCGAGTTTCTGCGTGTGCAACCGACTTACATTATCATAGAATGGTCTCGTACAGCCAAGTCTTTGTGAAAAGAGACTTCCACTGTACACAACTGTCTTTGTTGGATCGCACGTTGGGTCAAATGTTTATCTATCTCAGAGCCAACCGTGACATTGCGCCAAGCAACGGAATCCCTCTCTCATCGGTGCCAAACATTTAGCTAACCACATGTGGAGGTAACTTTACATGGGCCTCAATGGAACGCCTTTTTAAGCAGCTTCGTTAAGCCATAAATTTGTGAGTGTCTGTGTTCTCCTCAGGCGTGAACATTTTGTCAGTGATTCCTTCCTCAGGTTCACCTAATTTGAATTTTGAATAGAACACAATGTGGCGAATAAGACCTATTTTCAGTGATCCATCTTTTTGGTCGTTATATTACAATTTATATAATTCGGTTAATATGTGGGAAGGATGGAGATATTAGTTACACAAAATAATAATAAATTTTAGACAATATAGATAAGGTCCGTCAGTGACAATTATATCAATCTCCAAAGCATACAAATCTTTTTTCCCCTTCAAACGTTTTCATCCCATAGCGTTACCATCTTCAGTTAATTTAAGAGGCTACCCTCAATCGCCTTCAGTAGTTTAAAATATTCCCAGTGGTCCCTCATCGTTTGCTCACAATTATCATAGATCCACCATGGACACAATCCCCACTCTTATTCGTTTTATCACTAAGTATTTGAACAGCTCTGTTAAGTCTATTCGGTGTTTTTATGGACCACTCTTCAGCATTTCATTCGATTCGTCGATCTAATTTGTTACAAATCCTGGTAATATTTGAATGCCCCAAGCAATTGTTAGCTTGGCCACCCAACTACTTTGCAGATAGAGAACAAACCAGTAAACGTGAGAAAGCTTCAGCCAAACCCCAGGCCAAAAATTCCGGATTTCTTCATGGGGTTGTAATTATCTGACTTTTGAGGGACTTGCTCCCGCGGCAGGAGAAGCCGGTTTCTTGGATGTCCCTCATGATGGCGACCCATGCGTGAGTATCGGAGCCAAGGTTGGCGCAGTTGAAGACCCAGTTTCGGTTCCAGTTACGAATTGCATGTATGGATGGGAGGCTTAGTGATTGAATATCCGTCTTGGTCGTAGGGTTTCAGGTCTTCTGTTGACCACCGATTCGGCAATCCCATCCACAGCACGGTGCACTGACTATAGATTGTCACAAAAACTGAGTGTCGCTCCTTCGAGGCACGTAGATAAACCACGGATGAAACCGGTGTTGTCGCATTTTCGGAAGCTGATCGATTTTTGAAAAGCAGCGTTGAACCTCATCTTTTTTTAATCTGATCTATCCAGTTTACTTTCATGATGTGGTGTAAGCATAAATGATCAAAGATCTCAAGCATCTTTGTATCTTGCACTGTCAGCGACCGTGATTTGCAACTCTATAAGTGGGGATTCGGCGGATGGAAGCTTGATAAACCCGAAGCACAGTGTTCACGCTTCTTTCACATCAATTCCACAACAGTTTGAGAAGTTGCAGGTAGACTGTTCTGGTTCCGTCTACACGAATTTGGAATTCCTCTTTAACCTGGCCGTTTGGTTTGATTGTTGAGCCAGGATACTTGAAAACGTTGACTGAATTGACAAACCCCCTGTTAAACGAAAGGAGTCCTGTCACGGCAGAATTTTCGGTAGAAAATGTCTTAGTTGTTTTATCTTTAGCCCG